AATGGTTGGACTCGATGATCCCAAGGGGCTTTTCCAACCTGAATTGTTCTAGGATTCTATGATTCAATTATGTCGATCACATTTCTCTCACGTGGAGGCACAGTGCAAGGCCCCCTGGGCTAGTCAGAGCTCAAGCGCTGTCACCGTGCAAGCACACATACACAGAATCACAGAATGTTGGGGTTGGAAGGGACCTCTAGAGCTCACCCAGTGCCACCCCCTGCCAGAGCAGGGTCACCCAGGGCAGCCCCACAGGAACGCGTCCGGGCGGGTTGGAAAGTCTCCAGAGCAGGAGCCTCCACTATCGAGTGCTTAAAGGTATTAACTGTATTTACGACCGACCTAAAACATCAGTTACAAACTGAAGTCCTGAGTAAGGCCAATCCCTTACAAAGGAAAAACCTCCTGGTGCCGCACAACCTGCAGGAGGAAAGGGCTGATGTTCTCCCCTCCCTTAGCAGGGCGATGAGGAAGCGTCACCGAGCCAGAGCTCACCACTTGCTTTTGGAGTCAAGGTCTTGGATGAGTTTTATTTTCACATCAGTTTTTATTCAGAACATCATTACAGAGCATTAAGCCCCTGTGTATGACTTTATTATTAAAGAATATTGTCAAAACCAAACCAATTTACTGACTGAGGAGCTGCAGGACAGTTTGATTCCCATTCTGTTACACATTTTCACTTGTTTCCAACTTGCCTGCACTATGTTTATCAAATTCACCGAAAGTATTAATGTGGGAGTGATTGCAAGTTAGAGGACAGAATCAGAATTCCGAATGATCTTGAAAAAAATGCAGAAATGACTTCCAAGAGGAAAATGAAGCTCAGCAGGGAGAAGTAGCACAAGGTAGTAAACACGGACAAGAACAACCAGCTGCTTAAAATACAGATTGCAAACAACTGGGTAAGCAATTTGGGGGTTATAAGCAAAGGAAGCAGATAAGACTCAAGGCTTCAGCCTTGTTTCATTAAGCGGTTCTTTGTTAATTTTATTTTTTTTTTCACATCTAGAGGGCTAATTTAATCTCTTGGAAAAATTTCAATGCACAAATATGTCCAGAGCAGTATTAGTCAGCGATGCAGTAGCACACGACACCCTTTTGGCCAAAATATTTCTGGTATGCTGCAGGGACAAAGGGAAAAAAAAAAGTACAGTATCCTCCGAGGAAT